GAAATTTGCAGCCTCCTCGACGGTCACTGGATGGCTACAAACACATTGTTGATGTGGAATATTATCCTCCAGTTCTATCCAAGGGTCCTCATTTCCCTCCTGAAGCAGCCAAAGCGAAGGAGGCTGCTCAAAAGGAACCGAGCATGCAGAAAACAGAAGAATATCATGAAATTATGGAAGGTATCTATTCCATATTCAATGAAGTTTCCGACTCCGTAATAGTAATTATTTCATAGCCATTAAGAGGAATGACAATTCTTGTACTCAATACAGAGGAAATGATATGTGGTTTACAACAATTGGGATGGAAGAAAGTTGATGTCAGTTTTCACTCTGCATTCTGGCCCTTTTTTGCACACAATAATATTCATGTAAGATTGCAGCACCTTTTTTGTTTCCAAACTTGTTTGATATGTTGCTTTTTTCATACTTTCAACTAAAAAGTAACTTGTTTTTAAAATTATTCTTGTCTTACTCCCAAAATAAGTAAACTAAACGATATTTGCTGCTAATTATGGATTCTAATCTGATTTTTATTTTGAAATCTTAGGTAAAAAATGAGTGGTTTCATAATGCTGGAACAGGAGTGGTCGCTCATGTTGCGGACAGCATAAAGCAACAAGAGAAACACATAAACGCTTCCACATATATTGCTGCTAGTTTGTAACTTTGTAACTGTAGAATAAAATTATTTTGCGCCCCAACTTTCAATATTTTAAAGGAACATTCTATTTAAGATTTTGTCTTTCTTAATAAAAAGAATCTAAATAAAATCCAAGATTGTAGTCGCCCACCGGAACCACAGGAAATTGTCTTTATGGGGCATGTCAATGTTCTTGGAAGTAATTTATCAGGATGAAGCTAAGTGGAGGTTCAAATTGTCCTATGGTGCAGATGATTATTTTTGAATGAAAATTTAAAGAATATATTTACCTTAATTTATCATAACATAATTTACCAAGTATCATTCATTATAAGTTCATACTAAATTCTTTATAGAGTAAATTTAACCAATAATCACTGAACTTTACCCTTGATTACTACTTGCTCACTCATTTTTCACAAGTTACTGAATGCTCACTCATCTTTTCTTATAATTACTCATTCACCACTCGTTTTTTAAAATAATTGGACGACTTTTATGGCAAATTTTCGACAACTTCCGACCACAAAAAATGTCGAATTTTGATATCGTTGGAAAGCCCACGATGTCTTCTTCAATTACCCACCAAAATCTCATTATAACTCCAAGGGATTCGATCGGAAAATTGTCTTAAAACTCGCCCAAAAAATCTGAAAATCTGGGCAGATTTTCAGAATTTTTGGGCGACTTTTAAGGTAATTTTTCGACAACTTTCAACCATCAAAACTATCTAATTTTGATACCATTGGAAAGCCCACAACGTCCTCTTCAATTACCACCCAAATTTTCCCGATAACTCCAAATGATTCGGCCGGAATAAACCCACAAAGTCAGCATCCCGAACTTTGTCCAAATTTTCGCCTTTTCGAGATGCTGACTTTGTGGGTTTATTCCGACCGAATCCTTTGGAGTTATCGGGAAAATTTGGGTGGTAATTGAAGAGGACGTTGTGGACTTTCCAATGGTATCAAAATTAGATAGTTTTGATGGTCGAAAGTTGCCAAAAAATTACCTTAAAAGTCGCCCAAAAATTCTAAAAATCTGCCCAGATTTTCAGATTTTTTGGGCGAGTTTTAAGGCAATTTTCCGATCGAATCCCTTGGAGTTATAATGAGATTTTGGTGGGTAATTGAAGAGGACATCGTGGGCTTTCCAACGGTATCAAAATTCGACATTTTTTGTGGTCGGAAGTTGTCGAAAATTTGCCATAAAAGTCGTCCAATTATTTGAAAAAACGAGTGGTGAATGAGTAATTATAAGAAAAGATGAGTGAGCATTCAGTAACTTGTGAAAGATGAGTGAGCAAGTAGTAATCAAGGGTAAAGTTTAGTGATTATTGGTTAAATTTACTCATTCTTTATAAGGCCCTCCAAACATAGCCATATTGTACTACTTTTACGTATGGTGACTTCTTCAAATTTATACCTCCTCTTCTTAATTCGTTTACCAATAATCTAAAATTTAAACTTCAATAATTTTTTTTTGTTGTAAAAAAGTTAGAAGCTCTTTTATGATCTTTAGCTTATTTTTCACTATACATGTCAAGATTAACGTGGTTCTTTCTTCTCTCGAGGGGTAAAATTTCAGTGTGGGGGAGCCTCTAGAACTGGTAGATCATGTTGGCCTAAGATTTTCATGATCATCAGAGTGAAGATCAAATTTTAAATTTCTTAATGCATGTATGGTAAGTTAGATAAATAACACTAGATAATTGATTTCAAAGACTTAAATAACGCAACACAAAGAGTAAGGGGCTGGGGGGTAAACCACCAGAGAATAGAAGGTTATTGTATAAATAATCGTTAAGAGAAAAGATATTGTTGACTGATAATTTATAGCATCGCGCGCCATCGGAAGGATCACTTGCCAACTAGGTCAGATTGGAGAAGAAGCTATCACTTGTAGCCAATCAAATCTCTGCATGAAATCTCTTTGACGAGGAATTCATGAGAAAGATTAGAAAGTAGCAAAAAATATATGGAATAAAATGATGCTAAAATCTTGTTTGAGACTTGACTCTTCCTTTAAATAAATAAATAAATAAAAAGGTTAAACTCTAACATTGAGGGTCCCCACTGTCCCGTCCCTAGAGCTTTGTGAAGGGGGTGAGTCGCGAGATGTGCCCCAACAGATTAGAGAACAAGAGCTGCCTATACACTGCGTCTACAATGAGTTCAATTCCATGTTTCAGGAATCGAACCCCCACACTGCGACTGCCAGCAAGGCATGAGAAAATCTCACTCCTGTCCTTTGCACCACTAGGCTATGCCCCCGGAGGGCGAGACTTGACTCTTTNACAGAGGCTAAAACATTTCAAGCGTCGTAATTTCTTCAAATGACATGGCACCTTTACTACAACTACTAGGCAGATTAGACATGATCATATCAGAAAACTTCCATCATCTTTATATATTGCAACATCGTCTAAAGATACATCATTGTTGGATTTCTCTTCATCTTTATGAGACGAAAACTCAACTACGGCACTCATCTAATCGACTTTTATGCAGCTGAAAAGCAGGATTGATCCATGCCCCACAATTGCACTGCATGCCTGCCCAGTTGAAGGAACCAAGTCGAGCTTTGCAACCAATGCACTGAAGCTTGTCTTCTATGCATCCTTCTTCAACTGCAAATTGACCATACAAGATATGTTTTTTGAGCATGCTTGCTTAGCTTTAAAAAATATATAATAATTTCTCTTGATGGTAAAATGTCTACTTATTTTGACAGTGAGATAAGAGTTACTATCAAAGTGAGCCATGATAGTTCAGGCTTTGACTAACCTACTTGCATCCACTTCATTGGCTCCACAAAAATAGATGAGCATTCAGGTGGATCATCTGATTCATCACTTCTCTTTTTCCATTTGAAGCACTTCTGTCCCTCTCCGCGTTTATGGTGAACAACATGCTCCTCTGAAGCAACAATCCTACGACATTTCTTGCAGCGGTATACAACTTGAGGTCTTTGATTGGATCCAGAATCAGTGTTAGAGGGTTCAACTTCCATTGAGGTTTCCAATTCAATTCTCCAATCTAACAGAAAATAAAAACATAAGAATATTTAGGAAAAAGAAAAGGATAGAAATATTTCATAGCCTGAATCATGGTATCTTACTTAGACAGATTAAGAACTCTAAAAATTCTTAAAATACAAAATCAGAGACCAGGGAAGGGAAAAACAGACAGATATTTTCTGAGAGACGCTTGTTGTACGGGGGATTCACAGATTTTTTTACAGACAGGGTACTTGGCAATTTTGAATGGGTGATTTTTTTTTTTTTTTTTTAAAGGACTAAACAGGTGCTAGCCAGCGCAGCATTGTAAAACTTCTGTGAACCATTCCCCTGTTTAAGGGGAATTGTTCATCTCTATTTTCTTTCCTAATAACATAAAAACGATTATCATCGACACCAAAAAATAAAAAATAAAATGAGAGGCTCGTAAATGATAAATTTGGGTCGAAGACATCTATCGATCGAACCAAACCAAGTATAAAATTCCAGTTGAAACAAGCTTATCTATTCTTAATTAAAAATTTAATCGCGAAAAACAAAATAAACTATCAACATTCAACGCTTTCTAATAGCAAGCAATTGAAAAAGAAAAACCCTATGCTGAAATTTCCTGTGTGTGTACAAACACATAATTATAGATCATTCCAAGAAGCGAAATGGATTAGAAGACGTACCAATCACCGTTGAATTGGATAAGCAAAAATTCACTCAGTGAAGTGGTCACTCCATCGTTCAAGAACGCTAAATACGTTAGAATCTAATCAAACGGTGTCGTAGTGCTGAAANATTCACTCAGTGAAGTGGTCACTCCATCGTTCAAGAACGCTAAATACGTTAGAATCTAATCAAACGGTGTCGTAGTGCTGAAAAAAAGGTGATGTTTACGTTGGACCACCTGACCCGGTCACTTCATACCGTCTCATTAGAAAATGGGCCTCGATGTAAAGTCTAGTTACAACGCAACCTGGGGCACTTTTCAAATTGATTTAGTTAAAGAACAAGTTTTGCACTTTAACCAATTTTTTTTTTGCCTTTCACCACATTGACCTCTTGTGTTGAAAAAGATAATTGTGCCCTTATTATTTTCCACAATTACAAAAATATGTTAATTTTTTGAAAGTTAATAATACCCTTAAAAGTTTAAATAAATTCAATCACTTCCACACGTAAATTTCAAAATCAATTTTACTTATCAATTTCTCCAATACAGTGAAAAAGAAATTTTTTCTTCCATCTGCTAGAATATTGAAATCCCACAAAATTATCAAAGGTTCAACAAAAAAAATTACTCACTGTCGGCACAGAAAATTGGTAAGTGTAAATACGTATTTTTAATTTTGTTTTAGTTAAATTTATTGTTTGAATCTTTAAAGATTATTTTGATAAATACAGATGAATTATTACAGTATTAAACACATGTATAATTTTTTATAATAAAAACGAAAAAAAATTCATCTCTGTATTCATATATTTTACAGGAAAAATTTATAGGTGTCAGTAAAATAAATATTTAAACATTATTTTGTTGAAAAGTGGAAAAAATAAAAAATTTCAGCCGATCCAGACGTAAGGGCCGGCTGCATTCAGCCGACCTGGATATCTAGGCAACTGTTCCGAAATTTTTTTTCAGGTTTTATAATTTGTTTGTTCATATTTAATGTATATATTTATTGAAGTAAATATTAATAAATATTTAATAGTAATTGAAATAAATATTTTTGAAACAATTTAAATAATCAATGAATTATTTAAAGTATAAAATTAAATTAAATATGAAATGAACAATTTAAAAAATTATATATTAATTCCTTATATTTAATATATTTTCTAATAATTTTAATTTGTGATAAATATGACATCAGCATGTGTCCCAATTTGTTATTTCGGTGAATTTCAAATGAATGAAAATGCTCAGTGGAAATGGAAATAAACGAGTGAAGGAGATGGAGTTAAGGCAATTTTTATAATAAGGAGTACATCGTTTGTAGAAATGTATCATGATATACAAAACATGCTTAACGTCGATCCCTCTCGGTACGATATGAAATTGAAATTTTTGTTTCATAAGCATTCAATCATTTCAATTCCACCTATGAAAGTTATTTCTGAAGTGAAAATAAAACATCTAATTAAATTGAACCAAGGCTGAAAGTCGACTCCTATTTGCGTAACTTTATTGGGGAAGAATGTCCACGAGGGTGAACACGAAGTTTCAAATGAAGAGAATCGTAATGTAAATAATGTTTGAATACAATTCAGATTGTTCATGAAGATAATATGGTTATTCCCGAGATCACTGCTACTCACCATGATCACACTGTTACGCACGAAATTTCATCGATAGTTAAAGACAACGAGAATGAAAACGCATTTACAAACGAGGATTTGATTGCTTTATCCCGTATGAGACATGAGTCGGGTGGGAGCTCACAGGCCAGATCGAGTACACGATCCTCTAATTGTTCGCGTGTAGTTCCCGATGATGAAGATGTATATGTCGAGCAACTATTCAAATCAAAGAAAGAATTGCAAGAAGCTGTGCACAAGATTGCTTTAAAGCATAACTTCGAGTTTAAAGTGAAAAAATCAAACAAGTCGACGTACACAATTATCTGCATTGACGACAGTTGTCATTGATGTTTGCGAGCGACTAAGATGGATACGAATGAGTTCTTTGTAGTCCGTAAGTACGCACGAAAACATACTTGCGAAGTGGGTATTCGTCAAAATGAACATAGGCAACCCCGATCATAGTTCATTGGTCGAGAAATAATGCACAAGTTTCAGGACCCACGAACGATCTACAGACCTTTGGACATCATTAATAACGTTCGACAAAAGTACAGGTGGTCATGAGCCATCAGAAGGTTTGGAAGGCTAAAGAATGTGCATTGGAGGATTTGATGGGTTCGACCGATGAGAATTATGCTAAATTAGCCAGGTATTTCATTAAACTGTTTATTTCTTTGTTATTTTAATTTTTAATTATTTTATTTCAATTGTTATTTATATGTAATTATTTATTTAATTGAATTGTTTATTTTTCTGTTCATTTAATATTTAATAGATTATCTAATTTATAATTATTTTTATTTACATTGGCCATGTATTACTATAACATGGAAAGAATTAATACTGGGTCAGCATTTTTTATTGAGAAGGATGACGATAATCACTTCAAATATTTCTTTATAATCCTTGGACAATGTATTCGAGGATTTCGAAACGCAATGCGACCCCTAATCTTAGTCGACGGTACAACCCTTAAGGCGAGATACGGGGGCAAGTTGATTATTGCAATATGTCAAGATGCGAACATCCAAATTTACCCTCTTGCGTTCGGCATAGTTGACAAAGAAAATGATGTAGCGATGAATTGGTTTTTCACGAAATTGAGGGAAGTAATTGGGGATGTCGAAAACCTTGCATTCGTAATTGATCGAGGCAGTCAATAATAAATGGTATCGTCGAAATCTTCCCTGAGGCACATCATGGTTATTGTACGTACCATATACAGGGAAACCTGGAAACCAAGTATCAAGGCAAGGGCATCGTTGCGTTGCTTGGGAGAGCTGCAGAAGCTTACTGTTTTGAAGAGTTTGAGAAGTTCATGGTCGAAATAGACAGTAAATTGCATGCTGCATGAGAGTATCTAACAGAGATAGGGATTGAACATTTGACACGATCACATTTTCCAGGACGTCGATACAACATGATAACGTCGAACAATGCAGAGTCGCTTAACGCTTTATTCAAGAAAGATCAAAAGTTACCAATTCTCGCAATGATTGAGAACATTCGTGACAAGCTACAACAGTGGTTTGATGATCGACGTGAGGAATCACAGAGTTGTGCAAGTGTGCTAACCCCGGCTCAAGAAGATAAACTCTTCAAAACTCTAGATGTGGCAATAAATGTATACATAGAACCACTGGATCAGTTTCGCTTCTCCGTGAGACGTGCACGTAATTTCGGATACATCTTGGACTTGAATGATAACACGTGTACGTGTAGACGGTTTCAATTGGAAAGTTTTCTGCGTACACACGCAGTGGCAGTGGCTATGCATAGAGAATTTTCACCACACACCTTATGCAGTGTGTATTACATGACTGATTATTGGAGAGCAGCGTATGCGAAAATAATATTTCCTGTACCAAATGAAGTCGAATGGAAAGTTTCCGACCACATTCTCTCACTGAATAACTTATTGCCTCCAACAGTTGGACCACGTACTCTTGAACGTTTACGTACATCTAGAATAACATTTGCCGAAAAGTTTCCCCAGCCTCGTAAGTGCAGTAGGTGCGGTGCAACATGACATATTAAAAGATATTGTACAAGTCAGATTTCTCTACATGACAATATAACGGATGTATAATTTTAATAACTATTGGCAATGTAATTATTTATAACATTGACGTTAATTATTTATGCATATTATTTTTGTTAATTATTAGATTTAGTTTTTTTTAAACATTTCATTCATTACTTTCAATTATTACACACATTACTTATGCATATTATTTATGTTAATTATTTGAAATCGAAATTTTTTCTAGACACTACGTTATCCACAATACACACAAATATTATAAATAAACACATAAATTGTAAAATATTTAATTAAATATTACATAAATAATTAATATTTTACAATTCTTTTGTAATTACAAATGAATGAATGAATGAAATGTACAATATTTAAATAAATGTAAAAATATGTACAATTATTTACGAATTCCCATTAAATTCAAATAAAGCGCATTCTAATTTATTTCTCCAATTTTGTATCCATGTGTGGTTGATTGTATCACCTTATGTGTTACACTCAAAAATTTCATGTACTTGATGACGAACATGTCGCAATCACCCCTACAATTAAACAATGTTGTATTAGCACATCGAAAATTAGTTAGAATCAAATATGTAAATGACAAAAATAAAATTAAAAACACTTACGATATTTGCTGCCTCATCGTCGTCGTGTTCCGCACGGTGGTCAATTTGTCCTGTACAGTGATGTTCGCTCGTCTAGCCATCATGGGAATGATCACAAACACTAACTCTAGATTTCGCTCGAGTTGTCCTTGTATCAGGTATGAATGATCGGGGTCGTACACATACATAGTGGAGTCGGCGAATACGATTTCCACTACAATGTAGTGATGATTCACACATACTGGCATGTACATATGCGTACAGCCCTCCCACGGCTTTCCTCCGATACTCGGCCACTTCCCTACAACTCATTTCATCATATATGTCGGCACCGTGTACTCGTTACCCATAGCTTGGAATGACTGGCATTCAATGTCAACGGCACGGATGAACTCAGTGTTCAATATGAGTCTGCGAGGAATGTTGAACGATTTTGGACGTCTTTCAGCTCGATCTCGTAGCAAATCCATGGTCAAGTCGATATACTACATCAAGAAACACCAATAAAGAAAGGAGTTAATCTATGAATTTGATTTTGAACATACATAATAAATAACAATACTTTTATTTCGCTTATATCGTCGACGAGCCAAGCCCCCGAAGTGATGATGTCGTGGAACCACTTGTAAGCATTTGAGATCGTCTTTTGAGTAATCATGCGGCTAGCCCTGAAAAAATAAGAACATAATTTTTAGTTACAAGAAGTATACATGTGTCAGTGTTTGCGTACTATACTAATCCTATAAAATACTAAACTTACCCAGACTTTATTGCTCTCCACTTCGTCTCGGAGGCTTTCCACCTCCTTGAATAAATTCGGGTGCATCCCGTTGACGAACCTTCTCCTTTTCGCCTCTGCAGTAAAGGGAGAAACAACGTACTATGATGACACCCTCGGCCTCTTGTCGACCACCCGCTCCAACACGCCAACAGCACGCGTCCTCTCCTCATCCTCTTCGTCCGTACATTGCAATCCAGTGACGAAGGCAAACTCAAATATGGAGAACGTCGCTACCTTGCCCCCAGATCAAAATGGAGGGCGTCTCCGTCAATTGACAACCGATATAACAGGGCATCGAGCAGTTGCCCAAACCACTGTACATCACACAACGAATACAATGACCATAAGCATGATTGACGTAATATGTCCGCGTCCTCGTCATCCAGCAAATCTAATAGCAAAGTGAAGCTAGTAAAGTTACAATTCGACGTAACTTTACCAGGGATCTGTCTGACAGCGTCGTCCAGATGATATTTCATCCTGCAAACTTCAAATATTAGAACCCTGTGTAAATGATATTCGATAAACAAAATTTTTTATTGATATGTGATTGATAAATAAAAATATTACAAAAATATACTAACACGCTCATACTATATGCAATAACTAACCGATAACAGAATAAAGAAAATGAATGTAAATTACTATTTTTCATATACTTAATTTGCTAATTTGATTGATATTACTTATTTAATATTTAATTATTTCACTAACACTTATTTTGATCGTTTATTTTAATATTTTAATTGTTTATTTTAATTATTTTCCTAACACTTAATTTAATTATTTATTTTTGATTAATGTTTAAATACTTATTTTAATTCTTTACGCATATTGCTTATTTCATATTTAAAAATTTATTTTAATTGCTTCACAAAAAATTAATTTGATTGATATTTTCATTTCCTAATATAATTGTTTATTTTTATTATTTTACAAATGTTTATATATTTATTTAAATTCTTTATGCATATTACTTATTTAACATTTATTTATTTATTTTAATTATTTTACTAACACTTCTTTTGATAGTTTATTTTAATTGCTTATTTTAATTCTTTATATATATTACTTATTTAATATTTAATTATTTCTTTTAATTATTTTACTAACATTTATTTTGATATTTTAATTGCTTATTTTAATTATTTTTCTTACACTTAATTTACGTTTTTATTTTTAATGAATGTTTAAATACTTATTTTAATTCTTTACGCATAATTCTTATTTCATATTTACTAATTTATTTTAATTGCTTTGCAAAAAGTTAATTTTATTGATATTTTAATTTTCAAATTTAATAGCTTATTTTTATTATTTTACAAATGTTTAAATATGTATTTAAATTCTTTATATATATATAATATAATATTTAATTATCTCTTTTAATTATTTTACTAACACACATTTTGATATTTTAATTGCTTATTTTAATTATTTTTCTAACAATTAATTTACTTTTTTATTTTTAATGAATTTTTAAAACTTATTTTAATTCTTTGCGCATAATGCTTGTTTCATATTTACATATTTATTTTAATTGCTTTGCAAAAAAATTAATTTTATTGATATTTTAATTTTCAAATTTAATTGCTTATTTTTATTATTTTATAAATGTTTAAATATGTATTTAATATATATACTAACACTTATTTTGATCGTTTATTTTAATATTTTAATTGCTTATTTTTATTATTTTATAAATGTTTAAATATGTATTTAATATATATACTAACACTTATTTTGATCGTTTATTTTAATATTTTAATTGCTTATTTTTATTATTTTATAAATGTTTAAATATGTATTTAATATATATACTAACACTTATTTTGATCGTTTATTTTAATATTTTAATTGCTTATTTTTATTATTTTATAAATGTTTAAATATGTATTTAATATATATACTAACACTTATTTTGATCGTTTATTTTAATATTTTAATTGCTTATTTTAATTATTTTTCGAACACATAATTTAGTTTTTTATTTTTAATGAATGTTTAAATACTTATTTTAATTTTTTACTCATAATACTTATTTCATATTTACAAATTTATTTTAATTACTTTGTAAAAAATTAATTTTATTGATATTTTAATTTTCAAATTTAATTGCTTATTTTTATTATTTTACAAATGTTTAAATATTTATTTAAATTCTTTATGTACATTACTTATTTAATATGTAATTATTTCTTTTAATTATTTTACTATTACTTAATATAAAATAATTAATTAAACTAAATTAGCAAATAATAAATATTTAGATAAATAATAAAACATTTATATCAAGCAATTCAAATAAATAATTTTATATACAAAATATCCATTAAAATTAAACAATTCAAATAAATAATTATATATTAGAGAACACAATATAAGCAATTAATAATTATTTAATTCACTTCAATAATTACGGAAAATAAAATAAAAAATTGTAGGCCCACGGCCCAAATAACGGGCGGCCCTAGCACCCCTGGGCGCATGCCCAGCCATGGTAAAACGTGGAGATCGTCGAAAAACTCCATTTTTGACGATCTCCACTCCATTTTTCCCTCTCAAACAATATTCTTACCCAAATTCCACATTTACACAAGGATTTCTTAACACATATATACAAAATCATGCTTTTTTTTAGTATAAAAATCTTACCTTCTTCAAAAAGAAATGGTCAATTGGGTCTCCTATTTTTCCTTTTTTATCGGTGCCTGGATCGACGGTGTTATAGTAATTTTCCACTTTCCTTACCGTCTTTTCTTTCTTCTTCAAATAGTAAGGGTAAATTTGGGTTTCTCTTTGTTTTTGTTGGTTTTCAAGATTTTAAACATTTTTATTTTTTTAACTGGTCAAAGGCCTCTTTGGAAAAATGGCCGGGTCAACCGGCCAATGCTCACTATTTTCTCACGCGACCTCAACAGATACGGGCTTACAGTATTGTTATTGGGCCATAATTTATTCCAATAAGGAGGAAATCACACTCGAACAGGTTTTTAACATTTTCATTTAAAAATCAAGCTTAAATTTTTTTATTCAAAACTCGGGTGAAAATTTAAATTTTAATATTAATAATAATATTAAAAATTAAAATAATCTAAATATTTATCTCACCCTACCAAATTTAACCCCCAAACCATTATCACTTTCCACTCTCTCCCTCCCCCCCCTCTTTTCATTGTCCACACAATCGTCAGAAAAATGACCACGTGAATGCCATAGCATTGTTGCAAGGTAAGGCTCTATGTGGGTTGCACTCATAGTGCTGATGCATGCAAAGCCCTTGACGTGTAGCGGAGCTATACAGAGAAGCAACATGTTACTCTAGATTAGGTTGGCGTGTAGCTCTATGCGCGACTCTGGGCTACAACAGTCACTACCATGCGATTGCTTCAAGAGCGACGTGCAACTTTGATTTTGGACAAGGGCGGATGCAGATATTTTGAGTTAATGGGTCACAATTAAACTTTCAATAGTAGTGGCAAGAAATGGTGAAGTGGTGGACGGGTGGCTAGTGGCGGTAAGTAAATGGTAATAGCAGTTGGCAGGGACTTTTTTCAAATCGTTGGAGAGAGAGATGAAGAAATGGTTGGAGGGAGGGAGAAGGAGGGCTGCTTGCTGCCAATTGTATTATATATGTTTTAAACTTTCACCTTCTAATATGATATATTTTTTTCAAAAACTAGGGGGCCACCGTAGGCCACTCCCAGGTCCGCCCCTAAATTTGGTTGGTAATGGTGGGAGTGCGTGACAGTGGTGGTGAGCTGATGTTGATATTTGCTGCGTTTTGATCTTGAATCGAGTTCTTGATTTAGTTAGGGATATGGATTAGCTGGAGGAGGAAAGGGAGGAAACATTAATGGTAGTGGTGGTAGAAGGGACAAAGGAGGTGGGGATGGCTCAAGTTACGTCAGTTGTTTTAGGGTGGGATTTGTTGGCATGTTTGCAATTAGTGCCTAGTAGTGGTGGCTGTGGTGGCGACAATGGTAATGTTGGCATGGTGGTTGTGGAGTTTGAGGCGGGGGCAAGAAGAGTGTTTATGATCAATTATTTAGTTGATTGTGAATATAATCTGTGACCAAGAAATAATTTGTGATCAATTAATTTAATAAATTGTGACTATATAATAAGTTGCGATTTATAAAATTTGTGATTTATGATTGATGAACAAATTGTGTCCTATAAATTTTTTTCATGATTGTGAAATAATTTTTGATCTATAAAATTTCTGATTTATTATCAAAACAATCATTTGTAATCAATTAATTTGATAATTGCAATCGCGTTGTACAAAATTGTAATCTTAATATATTTAATTTATAAAAAAATTATATTTAATTGATTACTTTATAAGTAAAATTTAGTTAATATATGATTTTTGAAATTTAAATTTTATTTCTTAATTTTGATATAAGTGAGACTTAATTTTTTAAATATGAAATTCTCCCAATAAGAAAATAGGGAAAAACGCATACAATAGGTCAGGACAGAGCCCAACAGGATCCAATTGTAGTGAAGGCCGAACCCTAACAGCCCAAAGACGAAACAATACCACGTCGATACTACGTCGTATTCACAACGTCGGTTTAAGTGCTATATAAGGGTAAGCTGCAGCAATTCTTTCGTTTAGGGTTTTTCTGATTCCTGGAATTTTAGATATTCTTTCTAATCCCTAATTTCATTAATGGATCTCACAAAGAAACGTAAAGCCGACGACAATGGAGGCCTTTATTCTGTACCCAGCGACTTAAATGTTACTGCAGCCGCTATAGTACCACAGGTACCCAGCTTCTTGTCCCCAGAAGACGCACAAAAAATCCTTGAACCCTTCACGAAGGAGCAGCTTTTAGGTATAATTCGTGAGGCTGTTCTTCGCCATCCCGATGTGCTAGAGGCTGTTAGAGCGGTAGCTGATGCGGATCCTGTTCAGCGCAAGCTCTTTGTGCGCGGCCTTGGATGGGAAACCACCACTGAGAAGCTTCGCCAGGTTTTCTCCGCTCACGGGGAACTTGATGAAGCCAACACTATCGTTATTACCGATAAGGCTTCGGGTAAATCAAAGGGGTATGGGTTTGTTACTTTTAAGCACGTTGATGCTGCGATATTAGCACTGAAGGAGCCCAATAAGAAAATCGACGGGCGTATTACTGTTACTCAGCTTGCTGCGGCTGGAAGTTCTGCGAACTCCAGCTCGGCTGATGTGGCGTTGAGGAAGATTTATGTTGGTAATGTGCCGTTTGAGATTTCTTCTGAGAGATTGTTGGGGATTTTTTCCATGTATGGTGAGATTGAGGAAGGGCCTCTAGGGTTTGATAAGCAGACTGGGAAGCCAAAAGGTTTTGCCTTTTTTGTTTATAAAACTGAGGAGGGTGCAAAAGCTTCGTTGCTTGAACCCATGAAGACTATTGATGGGCATCAAGTGGTTTGTAAGTTAGCAACGGATAATAAAAGGCAGAAGCCGAATGTTGGGCCCGGTGGGGGAGTTGTTCCTGGGATACCCAATGCTGGTCTCACTGGAGTGCCTGGCGAGGGAATGCCTGCGTCAAATTATGGATCAGGAACTGGCTATATGGGCTATGGACCAGGCCCAAACATGCCTCAACCCCAGCAGCAGGCTGGTATAGTGCATCAGAACCCAGGATTCAGTTCTGCCATTGGAGGGCTAAGTGGGCAAGGGTATGGTGGTGGGTATGGAGGTGGTCAGTCACAGTATGGTGGCCCTGTCGGTGGCACTGGAGCTGTTAATGTTGGAGCTGTAACAGGGGAGTACACTGGAGGATTGGGCAATACTGGGGGCTACAGGATGCCTTCTAGTACTATTGGGCTACAAAGTTCTGGGGGTTACCCAGATGGTGGAAACTATGGTCTTCAGCCATCATATGCTTCCCAGCAGAATCAGCCTGGGATTGGCCCAGGACCTAGGTTTCCTCCTTACCAGGGTATGCCACCCTATTACTGAGGTAATTGTGTTACATACATAATTTACATGATTAACATATTTCATTTATGATTACAGTTAAAGTTGCTAGCTTCAAGCAATAGATTTTTTCGATTGGGTGTGATCGGATTTTATTTGTTATAATAGTAGTTATAGGGTCATTGTGTTATATAGCTTAAATTACCTGATTAACAAATTTTATTGATGGTTACTGTTAAAGTTGCTAGATTTGAGCAATAAATGTTTTTACATTGGGTGTGATCAGACTGTATTTGTTATAATAATAGTTTTGAGGTACGTGACACATGGGGTTACCTCTACTTGGGAATTTAAGGTATCTTAGTTCTGTCATCATTCTCCTTCCTTTGTAATGGACAAGTGGCTCTGGGAAAAGTGAGGTAAAACCCTTCACTCAATCTTTTCACTGTTCTGCTAATGTCCTGGAGAGTCCTTCACATTACTCTTCACCAACCACAATACAAGAGGCTACTGTTGCTTCTTTGGAAGAAATTATGGAAATAGCAGAAAATAAGGACCCGTTTAATAAAGTTAATATTCAGATGCTGGAATGTTGAGTTTCACATTTTCATAATAAATGTTTTAGTTAATATGGTTCATGCCTTAAACATAACTCCTTTTTATTATGTTTGTATTTCGAATGATGATTGAGTTACGCATGGGTATCTGTTCAGGTATTATGACAGCTTCTTGGACGCAAATGCTTTAAATGGTATGGACTGCTTGAGATCTGTGGCTGCTTCAACTCTACCCTATCTGCTCCTAAGTTGTGGTTTTATGACTAAGTTGTTTGCTAGAATTTGTTTAGTTGGAACAAATTGCTGTATTATGTGAAGAACGAGCTGCAAAGTATTTGAAAATTTGCTTACTTCTGATACTTCAAGTTATAAGTTTTTTGGGTACTATCATGTATGCCAATTTGGCAAATGTGTTATTTTATCATTGTGGTATCTGAAAGAGTGTCCAATTTGCTTGGCAATGAATTATATTTTGCAGGAGCCAATTTGCATTAAAAAAAAAATAATAATAAATATCCTTGATTATATGCGGCATCATGTTTTTCGCCTTTGCCGTAAGGAGTCACATCGTATGTCTTTGCATTGATGATGTGAAAATTGGAACAATGGAATTGATTCCAGTATTTTCCAGTTACATACAGTGCATTGTTTGAGGAAAATTCTCAACAAGAATATTCAAAGATTATGTTTGCCCTTTATGAATTAAAATTTGATTGAATCTATGACTTGCAATTTATTTGAATATATTAAAGCCCCTATTTGATGGGGAATAAAATTATATTTTTAGTAGATTTTGGTAAAAATAGATGAAATGTGTGGTTGAAAAATTGTGGATCTCTTGAAATGTATAGTTAAAATCAATTGTTGACTTTGTCTTAGATTAAAATCTTGATTTTAGTTCATACCAAACGGCCAAATTCCGAAGATTGACCATACAATTTCTCCCTTCCCTGAAACCCCATCCTCTTTTCGCTTTTTCTTTTAGTGAGATTAAAGTCTCTTGTAAGCATTACCTTTGTATTCATTCACATGAAAAGCGGCCTAATGGTAATGACCTCTGTTCTTTGCCTTTGTTCATTCACTTGTACACTTTGGAAAAAAATTGAAGCTATCCAAAGATAACGTTTTCCCTTTCCAATGAATAAAAATTTGATGCTATGCAGCTGTGACTTTCAAATCATTTGTTTATAAATGAAGTCGAAAGACTAACCATTCCACCCCACCCTCAATTTCACGAACAAAAATTCGTCTTTCAGAAAAATGATATATATATATATATATATATATATATATATATATATATTTTTTT